TGGCCAAGACACGCCCAAAACCCATGAAGAATATGGGCTTAAATCATCCCACCACGCTTTCTAAACCCATTCACTCTGAGTCAAAACCAGTCCATCTGCAACCGTTTTTCGTTACTCCTTCCGCCCAACTATTTTGTTACATTTCAAGAATTTAACTGTTTAAAAATAGCAATTTGATTGTGCTGTTTGTATTTTTTTTAATTTTATTTTCATAAATTCAAATTTTGAATTTAAATGATGACATGCATATGATTAAAGGAAGGAATTATATTAAAAGAAAAAAATTAAAAATTGTTAACTTTCTCAATGTGACAAATATTTTGGCACATTTCAAAATAGAAAATATAACACTCTTAATGAAACGAAGGGAATAATATCTTCAAGGCTTGGCTAACGGATACTCAAAATTGCAACTGAGAGGAGTCTCAAATTAACAATACAACTACGGCACCGATTTTTTTTTTTTTCCGTAGCACCAGTAAGAAAAAATCATCCTTTTTTTAGTAGAAATAAGAAAACCCTCAAAATTCAATTATTTGGATTATTTACTCCTTCTGTTCCACAAAGACAGGCCTACTTCTACTTTGTACAGTTGAAGTAGTTAAAACATTCATTATTGCTTCTTAATTTCTTGATATACCTCTCGAGTAGTACTAGTTTAAGTGTTATATTTATGAATTTTTCTAACAAGTGCCCCCTAGAGGGTTTCGTTAACACACTTATCATTCACCTAATCTATTATATATATATATAGACACACACATACTAACAATTGTTATCCTCCTTTACATTTATATAATTTTTCTATTTAATCTTATCTACCCTCTTTTGTATTTATTTATTTTTTTCTAATTTATCTTATATTTTTAAAAAATATAACACATGAAATATATCTTGGACCGACCTTATATTTATTATTGCAACTAGAATACCTGACTCATGGAGTAGCATAAATACCAATAAAGATGCGCATTAAATATGGATATAATAGTAAAATGATAAACTACGTACCTTTCTGAAAGAAAGAAAGTGAGCATAAAATAAAGGGAAAAGGAAAGCGAAGCTATATTCGATGAAGGGCGTGTCAAGTAGGGAAACCAGTAAAATTTATGCTCCACTCTTTTCTTTTTGAGTCTCTATATTCTTTACGTTATGTTTTCCATCTTTTGGACTTTTTTCCCTGCCTTAGGCCCTTAGCCGGTTGCCTTATAAACCCTTAAAAAAAGAAAGAAAAGTAGGCACTGTGGTAAATATTAAGCTAAAGCTTATTATTGACACTTGACAGAGAAGACGAAGATGGGGGTCACGAAAGAGCAGGTTGAATCTTCCCTCAAATCCAAACTCAGCCCTTCTCATCTTGTAAGCCTCTCCGTTTATATCTCTATTTTATTTATGCTATACTGTATTTGCATGCATCTGTTTATATGCCTGTCCAAGTTTCAATCTTTTTTTAGTTAACATGTATTAAATTTCATCATGGAGTAGTGTAATTTTTTTTTTTGTTGTAAATGGTTATTGCTTAAATGGGGGTTTTTTGGCTTATTGATAGAATGTTAATAGAGTATTTCAGGCAAGCATCCGAAAGGGTTTTTAGTTTTGGTGCTTTAATCTTGAAAAGGGGAGAGAGATTTGGAACTGGTTGGTCTTTGGGCTGATTTTTAAATGAGTTTTTAGTTTGATTAAAAGGGCATGTTGATTTGTGCAATTTTCTCTTTGGTTTAATAGAGTTTGATTCGTGGTATGAGAAATTAGGATGCAATTTAATATGATTGTTAAAGGATAGGTGGTGCTGATTATCGAACTATTCCACTAACTTTTTGCAATCAATTACAGAAGGATGTAGCTCTGTTCTTGCATACGTTTCTTATCGTGTTTAATATGAGGTTCATTTTGCTTGGATATAGTGGTAAATGTGTAAGGAGCTGGTCTTTCATATGTTCTTGTGAAAAACTCTCAAATCATAGCTTGGCAATTGTTTCTGAAGAACTTTCTGAAAAGGTATTTTGTTCAGCACATTAGTGCTTTAGGACCAGTGATGTGGGGATTAGGGTGACATTCTCAGTTTTTATCCATTCATCATAAATGGGTTTGGTTGACTGAAAAACCTGAATGCATGTGAATTGGTCACCAGTTGCAGTGCAGTGGATTTGTGGATTTTGAATTGTGATCTCTCTAATCTTGTGATCTAGCTAAGTCCTTTTTAGCACAACAAAAGCTTGTAAAACCAAAAAGATTAACTTGACTGGGAAGAAAATGTGTATAAACAACAATAGAAAGATGAAACTTCTCCAACTCATCACTGCACTATCTAATGCTGCTCTATCATCTTTGTCCCCTTCTTCTTAGATAAAACTGATGAGGGAAAATATGTGGTTCTTAGAACTTGTCTTTGACTCCAATGGGAGACATATGGTTGAGGTGTGGATGAAGCACTTGAATTTTAACTGTTCTATTGAGGGGATGGATGAATGAAGTTTGGATAATCAGGTTCACTTGAATAGGATTTGACTAATACAGAATTAGACAAAGAAAATAACTAGAAAAGATCCTGAAGTTATATAACTTCGACGCATGATATTTGATAACCCTTTGTAGTGTATGGCTCCATTCTGAACCAGGCTATTTCTTGTCATTAGCATCTGAAGCTGAATTCATTGCAAAGCATGGGATTTTGAGGCTTTCTTTATGATTTAGTTATTTGATGTCTCCCTCACTCTCACATGAGTGCCAAGTAAATGGGATGCAGCCAAAATGCCAGTAGCCCTTGAAAGATGTTAAATTTTCTGGTCATATATTTTAAGAAAGGTGATAAAGAAATTTTCAATAAAAAGCTACAAGACTTTTATGAATTTCATTTCCAATTCCCAAGTCACGCTTTACTGCATATATGTGCTCCTTGATGCCCAAATTCTGATATTTAGGGGTATTTGACTTATACTTTGGACCACCATTTTCATGCTGCCTACTGGAACTTTCAGATTTGTTACTTAAATAGGTCACAATTAGCTCTTACTTTTTTTTTCTTGGTTGCTACAGTTCTGTGTTTATCCTGATCTTTATGGTTTTAAATTGTGGGAGTCCAGTTTTAAGCCACTCCAGCAGTTAAGGTTTTGCTTATTTTGACCATTTTTATCACCTTAACCATGGAATGGCCATCATGAGTAATAGTGCATGTCTGCTGAAATAAATATTTATTCTTGGCTAGGCTTCTTCACTACAAACACAATTTCCCATGCATTTCCTAATAAAAGGGCTAAGTTGGTAAGAGTTGCCGTGTTCAAGCGCACAAAGCATGATTCTCTCCCATTGTCTAGTTAAAAACTTCATTTAGTAGCTTTGTTTGTCCTTTTTTCCACCTTTCTTCTTTGCCTAGATGTGAATTATATTGTTTCTCTAACTTAATTTGTCTGACAATTTAATTTCAGGAAGTAGTTGATGTCTCTGGTGGGTAAGTTTCTTTCTTTTGAAAAATTTCATGAGATATGTTTATGAATTAGTTATTCAGTGACAAAATTGTTTATTCATCAGATGTGGTGCGAAGTTTACCGTTGAGATTGTGTCTGAACAATTTGAAGGGAAAAGGCTACTCGAGAGGCACAGAATGGTGAATGCTGCATTGTCTGAGGAGTTGAAAGATATTCATGCTCTCTCTATAACAAAAGCTCTCACTCCAAATCAGTGGGAACAGCAGCAAGAATCTGAAAAATCTCAAGCAGCAGTTTGAAGTTTGCTTCTGACGGCATTTGCCAGCTAGAAAAACCTGATGTCTCGTGTGTTACACTACAGCTTCTTTCGTGAAAAAGACTGCACCTTTAGATCCTTCCTACAAATCTTAGCATGATGCTCCTCAATTTAAATCTTGAATACCGTTTGTCATTTTGGTAGTAAATCCTCTAGCAGCGATAAAGCTTCGTTTGATCGGAATAAACTTGGCTTAGTGCATAAATTTAACAGTCTGGTCTTTGAGTTATGACGAAGACTTGAATAAATTCAATGACATTTGACAGGTGATGATGATCTTTTGGCTTGCATTAATTGATGGTCTGGATTTCCTCCTTTTCAGATTATGGAGTCTAACAGCAAATTAGCAGTTGCAACTTGTGTAGCACTTTCAATTCAGAGTCAGACGTTAAAAAAATATCAATTCTCAAATTTGGCACCTTAAAAGTCATAATATAATCGGTCAAAGCCCTATGAGTTTCGAAATTTCTTTTCCTTGAGAACACAACTTCAAATGCAGGGTAAAACTTGCCTGATCAAAAGTAAAATTTGCTTGGTGGGCCAATTGTTACATTACGTGGCTCTCCAAAAAAAAAAAAATTCAGACGGGTGTGTAGTGCACCTGTCTGGTTCGATGATGCTTCAGTTCCCGTCGGTCTCCCTATATGTCCAGTTGGACCCTCTCTTAGAATAGACTAAAGTAGGAGTAGAAGTAGGTGTAAAGTAGAATATTGCCAATAGTCAGATTATGAAGTCTAACAGCAAATTAGCAATTGCAACTTGTGTAGCATTTTCAATTAGGGTTAATCTTTTCTATACTAACAGGAGTAATCTTATGCTATACACTGTTAGTTTTAAATGAATGACAATTATACAAAATTTAAATTTGAAATTTAATTTTTACACATGAGTCATGAATTTAACGATGAGAGTGTATACACTATCAGTTTATATAAAATTTACCCTTTCATCAATTAAGAGTCAGAAGTTCAAAAAAATTATCAATGCTCAAATTCGCCACCTTAAAAGTCATAGTATAATCAGCCAAAGGTCCATTTGAGTTTCGAAATTTCTTTTCCTTAAGAACGCAACCTCAAATGCAGAGGTATGAAAATCAGCCTGATCAAGAGGTACATTGGTGTGGGCTGTGGCGTGCATGAAATCCAACTACCCAAGTACATGTTGTACAAAAGCCTTCAAAGCCCGTGAAAACTTGTCCATCAAAATAAGGGTCAGAATTTTCTAATGGTACAATCTGAAAGTAATAGTCCTCAAATTTTGAGCAGATGGATAGAAAAGTCAGAGTTGGGACGGTGGCACACCGTGCAAGATAAAACTCTCCTGCCAAAGGTTCTACTTCCTCAAACCATCCAGTGTCTCAAAAGGTTCGGGAAGCTAAAACGAAGATTCAAACTGATTTGGAGCAATGGCCACAAAGCTTATCCACCCTCCAAAATCTGCTCCAAATTTGTTTCATCCAATAGCAAGCAGTGCCGTAAAGATAATGAGAGCTCACAAAGCTCTCTCAGCCACTCACTCAAGTCACAAAAACTGCAGTAGATTTAGTGAATATCCCTTTGGACTAAGAACCATTGTTTCAACCAAAGCTACTGAAAAAAGTTTTGGAGTTGAAGTTCAGGATGAGAAGCAGACAATTCAGCAAACTAAACAATCCCTTTATGATGCACTACAAGGTATGCTCTCCTGTTTTGAGACTTCTAGTTGAATCTTGAAATCCCTTAGTTGTCGATTGTTTTCTTCGCTGCGTTGCCTACCTTCTGAAATGAATGTATGTCACTCAAGGCATCAACAGAGGGATTTTCGGAGTTTCATCGGAAAAGAAAGCCGAGATTACAAGACTGATAGAGCTGCTGGAGTCTCAAAATCCAAGTCCAGAACCAACTATGAATATAGAGAAGGTGAGGTCTGTACTAGTTGGAATCATGTAGGAATCGCACTTGTTGCTGGTCTAACTTTGTATTCAAGAATCTTAAGTTGGTGATATTGTCATCGTTTGGAAGATGGGAGGAACTTGGAAGCTTGTTTACAGCACCATCACCATCCTGGGGTCAAAAAGAACCAAACTAGGATTGAGAGACTTCATTAGCTTGGGAGATTTCTTCCAGGACATTGATACAGTTGAGGTATATCTACACTATTTATCAGTAAGAACTTTTTTTTTCATTTTTAAACCATATCAATTAATTGAACTACGAGGAGAGGAATACCTTGATCAAATGCAAGATAATCCAACTTGTTGAGGGGTTGCCTTAATCGCTAGGTAATGTTTTGTTCATCTATTCCTGTTTTTGGTGGTTCATTAGTTTATTTCTTAAAGGTAAGGCTGTCAACATGCATCGCCCGTATGTTTATGCAAGCGCTCAAAAACCAAAACGATAATCCAAATAAGCTTTTGTCAGACCCATAATATCTTTGGCCTTTGAACTTGTACTGCTGGTCTTTGAGCCAGAAATAGTGCGATGAGGAAATCATGTTCGTAAATTGTCCATCAATAGAATTATACAGTTCCGGGCTTCTAGCAAATTTTCGCTCATCTTCCGTAAAAATATATAGACCAGAAACAAGTAAAATTCATCTTTTAGCCTCCATACTGTTCAGCATTGCTCAGGCAGTTGGCCTTATTCTCTTACTCTAGAATCTTATTAAACTCTTTCATCTTCTGGTTGCAAATGGAGGGGAAAGCAGTCAATGTGATTGAGTTCAGCGCTAAAGGTCTCAATTTGTTCCGGGGGCAGCTAAAAGTTGAAGCAACTTTCAAGATTGCTTCTAAATCAGTTAAGCTTCCATCTGCTTTTCCGGCTACTTTGTACTGCTGAAACGTTCATTTTCTTGAAGCCTCATTTTGGATCTTGAAATTTCGTTTACTGACAAAATGTTAAACTAGTTCTCCATGAATTCAAGTAATTAGCTCTTGTGATTGTTGTTTATAAATCATTTTTGGACTTGCTTTTATTTCCCAAAAATAAATAAAATAAAATAAAATCCTTTTCCATAGTGAATTGCAGGCCTTCAATCAGGAACTTTGCATTAAAGATGCTAACCACATTTATTATGTTTTGCTCACAGAGGGTTGATATACGGTATGAAAATTCTACAATCACTCCTGAACAGGTAAATATAGTTCTAGTCCACCATTAAATTCAAAAGACCGAGCAGTAAAGAAATGCTGTTACTTGAATCTGCCTTTCAACCCGAAACTGTACTTACAATGGATGACTTATCAGTGGCTTATTTTCCATGCAACAGCTGATGAATCTATTTGAGAAAAACTACGATCTTCTTCTCAGCATTTTCAACCCAGAAGGCTGGTTGAATATCACGTATCCTTTCTTATTGGATTCAATAGAAATAAAGACAAAATATTTCTTTTTTGGGTTCTGTAATATTTTGCAAATGAGAAAAAACCATATGCTAAAATGCTTCATCCTTGACTGTTTTCCTAGATATGTAGATGAAAATTTAAGAATAGGAAGGGATGACAAGGGCAATATCTTTGTATTAGAGAGATCATGAAAAGGGCAGTCTAAATATCAAGAATTCTTGGATTAACCTCCATGTAACCAATTTATTTTTTTTTTTCCCACAGAATGGAGTGATTTTACTGTTAAAATATCAAAGCAGTTACAAATGATTAAAAAGTATTGTAGCTTTAGCAGAAAGGATTGATTTAAACAGCTACATTTTCTCACCATCCGTCAACCCTGTTGTCACAATCTGTGGCAAGATATAAACAGATGTCTAATGCGACAAATTTCAATCTAATCACCTGAAAACTCTTTGAAGCTAAAGGATCAGTGTACTGGAGATGCTTTCAGATCCTTCCGTTGTTTTTGCCTAAAAAGGGCATAGATAACAATTCCTTTAGAACAACAGAAATTCAAATTATGCTGGCTATTCTTTTAATTGCCTGTAGATAACGACAAGGTGAAAGAGAGAAGGAAGAGAAAGAAATATTTAGTTTTGTGCACATCATTAGTGTACTAAACACTGTACATGCTGTGTGCTTGCCCCTTCTCGTCTTCTTTCTGATGACTAATGAGCACTGACTCCAGTCTTTCGTGTAATTGATATATGAAAATATCAACACACTAATACAGTGTTGGACCAAAGTGAACAGTTTGTAAACCAAATAAGATAAGAACAGAGGAGCTCCTAAAAAGTTCTTGAACCAAAAAAAAAGGAGGGACTGGCCAACAAACTCTCACTGCCTTGGGCATTTTGAAGCGACTATCAGTTTTATCTCTTGCCTTGAATTAGATTGTTAAAAGACAACACAGCAGCAGCAAAAATGCAAGATTCAGTTCTTCTTAGGTATCTAAAGATCAATATTGGATCGCTAGAGTACTCGGGCACCATACAGAGATTGCAAGAGTTCCTTTCCAAAGAAAAATGCCCAAAGATGAAGCACGACCGCAGCTCATATAAGAATCGGTCCAAAGCTGGTTTCATTTTTAAGGTAAGGCATTGAGAACCACTTTCTTTTGTCCACAGTGAGATTCAATTCTTATCTTTATCTGGTAGACATAGTCTAAGATTAAAATTCTGCAACCTCCTCCCCCTTAATGTTGGATGAAGCTATTGTCTCAAAAAATAAAATCCCAAAACCCAAATCCCACCAGTTTTTACCGCCAGCATTCCATTTGCACCCTCATTCGTCTCAATTTCCCTCTCTCTTATGTATTCCAACTCACTGTTCTCTGACTTCTCTCATGAACACAGGAACTAACAAATAATATCTCCTCTCCAGCCCAAATTTCCTAAGCCTATCACATCCACAGAGCACAAAGACTAAAAGTTCATTCAATCAAATCTGGACCATAAAAATATAGCAACATGAACAACCATACCAGGCACCATTGTCAGCTGCTTCCACATCAAAATCGAGGTGGTGATGTAACCGGACCCAGAAAGAACCCACAGATGAGGGGGGGGGGGGAGAGGAGGCAAAGGCCTGATGAGTGACAAGCAGGGAGCTCACATGAAGGAAGGAGACAGGAATAAGGTTTCAAGCCAAGAAGTGACTTGTAGGTTTGAAGATGCTGCTTCTCTAACTTGTCTGCATGCCAAGGATTGTGTTTTTGTATGAACCCTCTCTGAGTATGCTCGAAAGAGAAGATAAACAGAATATAATGGAGAGAAAAGGGAGGGAGGGGGAGAGAGAGAATGTAAAGTAAGGTGGTTGGTTGTTATGGAGATCGATGATGGAGGAGCTGGTAACAGGATGACGCTTGGAGGAATTAGTCGTGGTGGTAATCCTGGTGGACAAGGCAATGGGAGGTGCAGTTGAGTTTTGGGTTTTTCAGTGTTTGAGAAAATTGATTGTTGAAGTGGCCAAATTTACAATAGGAAAGATGATAGATAATTGAAAAACTTAAAAAAAGGTACTAAACAATTTGCTAAAAACTAAAAGGTACTAAACAATTTTGCAAACTAATAAGGGTGGTTGTAGATCTTCTTAGTTTTTTCAAATCAATCGTAAGCTTTGCATTGGTCTCTATAAGAACCTCTGCCCTTGCAACAAGGGGGGGAAAAAGGCAAAAGATCAATGAGATAAACAGTTCAAAGTTCTGTAAAATGTTCACTCTGAGCTTATATGCAAATGTTATCATGTGAAGAAATATGAAGACTGGCGAGGAGGTAAGGACCTTCAATCTGGAGTCAAGGAAAACAATATCATGGACAGATTCCAACAGCAAACCAATATACAGATTCAGGCCAAACTGTTGTTAAGTTACACTTGAATGTTACAGGTTACCTCAATTTGGTCAGGATACAATGTTTACCCGTAAACAACTCGAGCTACCAAACAGCTTAAAAACAGCGAAATTCTTGGGACCAAAAAACCAAAGTAATGCCATAACATTACCAAAAAAAAAAGCAGATATCTAAAAGGAACCCATAAACGCGAGTACATGGAGTAGAAAAAAATTGGAACTATGCTTAGGATATTGGCAAGTAAAGCATCTACGCATTGCAAAAGCATTCAGGTTCCCCAGAATAAAACTAGATGCTTGAGAAGTTTGTGCTTCACTATTGGGAAACTATCTTCCCATGCTTCTCTTACTCTATTAAGAATCAAATTCAAATGCCGTGGCGGTGATAAACTGATTACCATGCAGTTGTATTATTTTAACCAATCATCAGGCTCAGTTCTCGGACCTTTTGACATAGCAACAGTTTTTACATAGCAAATAGTTTCTTTTGTTTGTTATCGAGCCAAACTTAGAGCTATTTTAAGGAAAGGAACAGCCATTTAAAAAAATGCGGAACAGCCACGAATTTCAAAATCTTGAAAAAAAGAAAATGAAGCTTGATGGAAAGCAGCAGTTGGATAAACTTCATATTGAATTTTCCTACCAGGTTACTCATAGTAAAACCAATTTAGATGTCTTACACTGTACAAATTCTAAGTTGGGAAAAAAAAGGCAGTAAAAAATGCTTATGAAGCCACACTCCTACCACTTCCAAACCAGAGCAGCTAAATAAATTTCATATATTTAGCCAAGACAGACAAATCTTATTATGCCAAATTAACAATTAACATTAATCCTTTTTTTTAGGCTTTCTAAAGTGTCAAATAAACCAAATATATATGCAGCTATCTCATGGTCAAAACCCTCTCAACAACTTATAACATGAAAAATTCCTCCTCTAATACAGCGAGAATGCTAAAACAAGCATGGTATTATTAGAAGGCTCATATGACTCCAACAAGAGAAGATAAAGAACCAACCCCAAATCAAGGGAACTCTTGTTACATATATCATTTCTGATGTACTATAACAAGTTAAGATTGCAGTGATAACAAGAAATCCATGAGCTACTAAGATTTGCTATACCAATCCTTTACAAAATGTTGCCTCGGCTAACTATGTTAAAGGAAGAGGCATGGCAAAACATACCATCTACCGTTGAATATTAAGCATAGCCTTTGCTTCACTCTGCTCCTCGACTAAATCATCACTTGCATACTTACTCAAGAGCTCCATCTTCTTCTTTTCTAGCACCATTCTCTCAATCATCTTGTCATCCGGTAATGGCACATGTACCACAAATTCCTTCTCCTTCTCCTTTTCCTCTCTTTCCCTCTCCATCCTCCTTTCCTCCTCAATTACATCTTCCACCTCCTCATACAAGATCTTAGATGCCAACCCAGCTTCTGCAACTTCCCCGCTCTTTACTCCTCTCCTCGCTTCCTTCTTTTTCTCTAAATCTGCATTCCAATCTGCCAAGGCTGCAGCCCTCATCTTCTCCTCTGCTGGCCCCTCTAACTTCTCCAAAATCCCATCCTCATCATCCCTATATCCATAATAACTTGCATCAATCCTCTTGTAAATGTCATACCTGCAAAAGGTTAATACTCATCATCAGCCACTCAAAAATTTCAACATGTTTTGTTAATTATGAAAAATTTATGCACTTCCCAACTTACCATCTAGCAACTCAAAAGCATCTGATTTTTCCATCTTAATATAACATATCGATTTTTCCCATGCTATCTAGGTTCAATTACACAGTTCCGCTAATCCCATTTTGCTTCAATTAAAATTGAATGTCCCTCTCAGCAACATACCAAAAAATAAAATAAAATAAAAAGCACATATAAGCTTATGTTCACAATTATCCATATCCACACAGCCACCTCATGACCATCTGCATCATCAGACAACAAATAACCAGACACGCAGGTATGTTCCCACACAATTCATCATTCACTAACAGATCTAACTAAGCGCAAGGACTAGCCCAGAACAAAAGTAACACTTCAACTGGTTTTCAACTTTGATCTAGGGCTTCTACTAGCTACTCGAATATATTTGATTGCTCAAACTAACTCTCTGAGTACAATTTGATCCAAAAATTTGAGCTTCAAAGAAGTTTGTTAACATTTTTCCCGCACAACTGCATGTAACTAGAATAAACCAAAAGAAGAAAACAAAACCTCGATATTTTTTACCTCGTTCGCCTTTTACGCAACTCAGGTGGCTTCTCAAACAACTCCCTAACACCAGGTAGCTTCTTCGCTGCCCCAAAATACCTATATCCAGGGCCACGTCCACCAGGATTTGGAACATCAACGATATTCCCATCTAAATCCGTCATCTTTGCCGAATTCCTTATGTAATTTGGTCCACCAAGCTCAATTATCCTTCGTTCCCAATGCCCTTTTTCTCTAATCAACTTATTAATCTCATCATTAAGGTCCCTCAACCTATGTTCCCCTAACCCTTCGTTCTGAATTTCCGCGACCTTCCGCCCAATTTCCCGCATAATTTGCTGCCTCCATTTATCTGCTTCGGCTAAATCCCGGCACTCTGAGGCTAGAAATGGACGCCGTTCCTTGGGCTTCTTCTTCTCATCGGCTTTCATTGCTATGAACCTGTTTAGCATCGATTGAGCTTTCTCTTCGTTTCTCGCCATGGTTGCTGCTGAATTGGTTGTCCTGCTGCTAGGGTTTCTAGGGTTTTAGGGTTTCAAATTGGAGACAAATTTTGTGGCTTCTTCCGGACTTGCTATTGAAGTGATTCACTGATTTATTTGCTTTTGGATTAGTTCGGTTTAGGATTTCCGAAACTAACAGACGACGTCGTCCAATCGGCAACTTTTGTAGTAGTGCTACAAGTCAATTCATGGGGGAGTCGATTTTTCATAAGT